AACCCTGTTACCAATATGCAAGAATTCATGGAATGGACTTCTGCTTGCAGATATGATAGAACAGATTAGTGCTCCAGCCATAAATGATAAAACTCAACAAAATATATAAGGCAACTTTCTTCAAACATTAACAGAAACTCACCAACTGAACCCCAGAATTAGCCTGGATATTTGGATAGGGACATTTCTCAATTTCTGTTGTGCTTTAGTGAGCAAGAGTCTCCACTGAGCACTGTGATCCTGCTGAGATTAGAATTCATGGATCCAAGTTTCAAGGTGAGCTGCTAGAAGTCCTCATGGTGGAGACACCAGAGGGAGGGAGAAGCATAAAGAAGGTACCCAGATTGGGGAACCTGGAAGTTTTCCACCTAGAGTTCTGGGCTAAGGCCTAGGTTATCTATGAGATATACCCTAGAATATATACAAAGATAATATGCTGAGTCTTAAAATGAGTCTTAATATAATCTTTGATCATAAAAGATTCAAATTAGAAATCAATAAAAGTAAAATGAATATAAAAATTCCAAATGTCTGAAAATTAAAAGATATGTCTACTATGAGTGAAAGAAGAATTCACAAAGGAAATTTCAAACTATTTCAAACTAATGAAAAATGAAAAATATCAAAATTTATGAGACACCGATAAAGCAATGCTTAGGAAAAATACTACTTTATATTTTAGAAAAGAAAGAAGCTTTAAAATTAATAATATCCATGCTCACTTTTAAAATTCTACCTTAAAAAGATAGAAAGCAAATTTAAAGAGTAAATGAAAACCAAAGTGAGAAGAAAAAAAATACATAGTAGAAATCAATGTGGCCATGAAATATAGCAAAATAGTAGAACACTTACCTAGCACGCTTGAGGCCCTGGATTTGATCCCCAGTGCTATTAAAAATGAATAAATAAATAAAGCCACAAGTATATTATTTGAAAATATTAAATAAAATCAATGAATCCCAGAAAGATTAATCAAGAAAAAGGAGAGATAAAAGGCAAAATACATAGAAAGGATCAACATGCCTCTGCCTACTAAAGAAATTGAATGCATAATCAAAGAGCTTCCAGAAAAAAAAATATTTAAGTACATATGATTTCACTAGTGAGTTTAATTAAACATTAATGTTTTATATTAATTTTATTCCACAAAACAGAGAAGGAAAATATGTATCCCAACTCTTTTAGAAGTATTGCAAAACCTTCTAACCAATGCTTGTATGTTTATTATACTGAATAAAATGAAATTTATACAACATCTCTCTCATAAACTTAAATGTAAAACTTCTCAAGATTAGCAAACAGAATTAAGCTGTATATAAAACAGAAAGTACATCACAACCAAATGGGATTTGTCTCAGGTATGCACAACCAATTAGAGTAATTCAYCATATTTTTGAAACATGTCAAGAATATCCTCAATAGTTACAGGAATAAATATAATAAAATTCCACAACGATGCCTTAAAAAATTCTCAATAAGCTAGGAATAGATGAAAACTTCCTTACCCTCATCAATGTACAAACAAACAAAAAAACTCACAACTAATGTCATACTTAAGGAAACACTACTTTCCTCTTAGATCAGCAACAGGAAAATAATATCTTCTCTGACCACTAGTATTCAATATTGTACTCTGTAGATTCTAACCAGTGCAGTAGGGAAAGAAAGAAAGAAATACAAGGCTTATTCATAGGAAAAGAGGTGGTTATCGTCATAAATAACAACTGAAGATTTAACAAAATAAAGTTAATTTGGCAAGATTATGTAATATGAGGTCAATGTTCACCAATTGCATGTCTCTGGACTAGCAACAATATCTGGAAAATATAAAAGACATCACAAGAGGGCTGAGGTTGTGGCTCAGTGGTAGAGTGCTTGCCTCTCATGTGAGAGACACTGGGTTCAATTCTCAGCACCACATAAAAATACATAAATTAAATAAAGGTCCATCAACAACTAAAAACATTTTTTAAAAAAGATATCACAAGAATATCAAAAAGGATAAATAATCAAATAAACTTAAAAGAATTATTATCCAAATTTTTACACTGAAAATACAAAACAATGCTAAGAGGAATTAAAGAAAATTAAAGATCTAAATTAAAGATATATCATGTTCACGAATTGGAAAAATTGTTAAAAATTGTTAAAATTTCCTTAYCCTCTAAATTGCTTGATAATAATTTAAAAATCCCAATTATTATACCAGTTATTATTCCAACAAACTTATGCAAAAAATGACAAACTGGTTCTAAACATCATATGAAATGCAAAAGACTTACCATAGTCAAAATAATCTTGACAAAGAACAAAATTGGAGGACTTTTACTAATTTACTACAAAGTTATATTAGTCAATTAAGTGTGACAATAAACATACAGATAAATAAAACAAAACAGACTTTCAGAAAACATCCACACTATTTTTTTTATTATTATTATTGTGGGGATTGAATTCAAGGGCATGCTACCACTGAGTTACATCCTCAGTCCCCCTTTTTAAATTTTGAGACAGGGTCTAAGTTGCTGAGGCAGCCTTGAACTGAGATCCTCTTTGCCTGTTGAGTAGCTGGATTACAAAAGAAGACCACCACACCCAGCTCACATAATTGCTTTTTGACAAAGGCACTAATGTGATTCTATGGGGCAGGGAGGATTGAGTCATCTTTTCAATAAATGTTGCTATAAAAACTGGACTCAATCTGGAGCAAAAATAAACCTAGACCTCCACCTTATATAAAAACTCAAAACTCACAGGCCTAAATCTACAAGCCAAAACTAAAAATTTTGAAAAAAGCATAGAGGAAACTCTTAACCACCTTGTAAGTATGCAAAACTTTCTCAACACACACATACACACACACACAATAAAATTTTAAAAAATTATAAATTGGACAAATATATTTGATGAGGAGCTCATATCCATAATATGTAAAGAACTCTTACAACTTGTAATAGGGAGACAAAAATTAAATTTTAAAAATCTGTAAAACACAAATGAAGTCATATGAATGGCACATACTTGTGCAAAAATGTTCAACATCATTAATTGGGCAAATACCAACTAAACCATAATGAGATACCACTACACATTCATTAGATTGAAAATTTTAAAATTGTGCATATAAAGTATTAACAAGAATATGGAGCAACTACACATTTTTATATTTCTGGTAAAACTGGAATCACTTTGCAAAATACTCTGAAAGTTAACTTAACATACAGTTACCATATAGACCCACAATTCTATTCCTAAGTGTTTTCCCAGGAAAAATGAAAATATATGGCAACGTATGATGTACTATTGTGTTCACAGCAGTGTTACTCTTAAGTGCTCCAAACTAGAACAATACAATATGTAGCAACAGATGGATGGATCTACAAATTGTGACATTTGCTTACAATGAAATGCTACACATTCAAAAGGTTACATTGTGCTAAAAAAGCACAGCCAAAAGAGTACATAATACATGGTTGCTTTGTACAAAACTCAAGAAAAGACAAATCTAATTCAGTGACACAGCAGATCAGGGTTTGCTTTCAGGTGGGGGTGGGTCACTGCCTGGAAAGGTAGACAGGGAATGTATTTTGATGATAGAAATGCTGTCTGTCTTCAGAGTATATCTGACACACAGGTAGAAACATTTGTCAAAACTCATCAAAATGATACTTAAAATGGATGCCTTACAGAGCACATGCTCAGCATCCATGAGGTCCTGGGTTCAATTCCCAGCACCAGGAGCACATACACAAACAAAGGTGCCTTTACTTTCTGTACATTATACCACAATAAAGTTGATTTAAAATATGCTAAGGTAAAGAAGCTTATATAGAAAAGCAGTGAATGAAATCAGATGGTTATCTGGTGCAGGAATAAGGAGGAATTAACTTGGAAAGTTTCTGAGGTAATTAAAATATTCTAATCTTGATTTGGGCAGAGATGATATGATGTATATGTTTGTCAAAACCTTTTGAATTGAATTCTTAATATGTGTATTTTACATAAAGTACACTTCAGAAAAATGCGATCTTTAAAAACCTTAGAACTTCCCTAGCAACATGCTTCACATAACCAAAATGACTTGAGGTGTGCTATGGTACATACAGCAACTAGCTACATGCATCTATTTTAATTTAAATGAATTAAAGTTAAAAGCGTAGATACTCAGTTGCATTAGCCTCTCTCTAAATACTCAACAGCCATGTGGGCCAGTGGCTACTACTTTGGGCTGCACAGATACAGAACATTTCCATCACTGCAGAAATTTCTACTGGACAACACTGGTGATGAGAAATGTTAAAAAAAAAAAAGCGGAAGAAGTCGGTGGAGAAACTTAAATATGTATTTATTATAGAAATAGGTAAAAACAAGAGAGTATATTAAGTAATTACCATATACTCAATTACTGTAATCATAGGTCATCTAATACATAGAGCACATGTGCAAGGTCTTTAATTCTTTGCTGATGTATTGGTGTTGGTAGTACTAGTATTGTTACTGAGACTTTTGTGTGTGTAACAGAGGAAAACATAATTGAGTGACTGATGAATATTCCAATTCTGTGGAATGAGAACCAGAAAGAAAGGAAGGAGATATAGTTATAATCTCAAACAAAAAGGGCCATGGACCTGAATCATGATTTAAAGTATCAGAGTAAGCTCGTATTTTCCACTTAGGAGACTCAAAACAAGGACTATCCMAGCAACAATAGTCACTTCTAGCTCTCAAAATGGGATCTAAAATACCATTTCCCACTAAAAGAAAATGATTTGGGGGGCTGGGGAGAAATGTCTGATTCAAGAACCAGGGCAAAAACATCTGTAAGAGAAACCTGAAATATATTGTCATACCAGCACTAAGAAAGTCAGGGACTACTACGCTCTCAAATTGATGAGCCTCTCCCTTGACCATTTTTTAAATCCATTAGTTCAGACATGGGTATCTGTCTATGATCTGTTGGCTGCCAACTCCAATTCTGAAGATATGCTCTGAGTCTTGAGTATGTGTATGATTCCTCCAGAGCCCAGTTAAAATCAGACTGTGATTCAGAAGGTCAGATGTAATAATCTGCATTTCCAACGAGCTCTCAGATGTCACTGTGAGTTGTATCCATGAACCACCCTTTTAGTAGCAAGGTCCTAGCTTTGAACATGTGAGCTGCATAGGGAGAGAAGAGAGAGGAAAAAAGTTTTTAAAAAATAGGAATGAATTTCTAGGTATTCTTAAGGGGCAACTCTAGTTCCATTTAGACACCAAGGGGCATTTGATTTAACCTGATGAGATGAGGCACAGACCTCTTTAAGAAAATCAGAATGTATTCAGAATCCAGAATCACCACACAGAGACCATATACAAGCTGCCCCACACAACAGTGGGTAGTGATCCAAAATGAATAAGTGAAAGGCATCAAGGGGAAGAAGAAAGGAGGAGGGCAGAGCACTGGACTACTAGGAGTTGGAATAACTTTCAGATGCAGCTGGCAGCTACGAGCAGCTCGGAGTGCTTGAAGAATCCACGTTCTTTCAGGCCTGACAGGAGCGCCTGCAGGATGGGGTGAAACCACATCCTCAGCACTTGTGGTTAGCGTTGCCCAACTACTGGGCCAGGAAACTGAGAGTCAGGGGCTTCAGGGCATGAAACCCTTGACTCAGTAATCCCTGCCCCCCCCACCCCGCTTAGGGACAAAGACCTTTCCAGATTGCTTTCCACCACGACAGCAGTATTTAGAGTTTCCTCACAGTGTGGTTACATTAGGCAGAAGATKATTGGCTTATGGATATTACCTTGCTTATGTATGATTGACAGGCACTCCCCACCCAAAATCTATAACAGTTATATGCATTCCAAAAATAAACAGAGCTACTGGACATAGGCTAGGTCACCACCAGCCAGTTCTCACCAGCTCCCGGAGTCTGAGGTAGCCTAGCAACTAATTGASCATGCCAGTGACAGGAACGTATGCAACTAGGAACATAACTAAGCAGTTCACAGTGGTAGTGCATATGATGTGTAATCAGGGATGCAGAGACACAGTCGGTTAAAGCTGGTTAGTCTCAGCCTGTCACCACCAGAGTTATCACATAAAAGTGATCTACTCTCTCTGGGATGTTCATTTGATAAATRGAGATAAGTTCCTGTAGGAATTGAAAATATGCATAAAATTTTTGTGACAGTGAATGGAATTTTCTGAAATCTACTTTGGGTAYATTACCCAATCAAAATTACCTTCTCAAGGATCCTCCAGTGTCTAACAGAATAAAAGAATGCATCAGGGCTGGGGTTGTGGCTCAGAGATAGAACGCTCACCTCGCACATGTGAGACCCTAGGTTTGATCCTCAGCACCACATAAAAGTAAATAAATAAAATAAAGGTATTGTGTCCAAGTAAAACTAAAAAATAAATACTAAAAAAAKAGAATGTATCAACTCCAAAACCTAGAATTCTACCTGAGATCCTTTTACCATTTCAACTTCCCTGTATGACATATTCTCTCCCCCCTATTGAGCCTCATCTTCATCCAGCCTGATCCTTCTATAGCTTGGTTCATGTATTACCTCCTCCAAGAAGCACTCTCTGATCTTTTCTTCACTGAAAAGTGATTCCTTTCTTTTTTTTTTTCCCCAAGGCCAAAGCTCAAATACCATGCTTTTCATTAAGACTTTTAATACTATTCCCAGGGATGGCTAAAGACTTTAGGAGGCCTAGTTCTCAGACTCTAAGGATTTGATTAGAATTTTATAGTTATATTTGTCAACAAAGAACTTTAATAGTAATATTTATATTTTTCTTATATCCTAATAGCTTACTGATATAAGGAACAGAGATTTGGAAAAATGGTCATGAATCTAACATAAACTTCATGAATCTAAAAGAAGAGTTGAAACTGATTAATGTTTAAAACTACTTCCAATGCTGCCTTTTGCATCTTAATTTGAATGCTCCTTTTTAATCTTTAACTACTGGCGGAAAGATAAACAGCATCTACTTTACCTTAAGCTGCATTGCATCTGAAAGTTTAAATGAGAAGTGTTAGTCACTCAGTTCAGCAACCACAGTACTACCCAAATGAGATAAAAGAAGATAAAATCTAAGGGAAAAAATGTAAAGAAATTTTTTTAAAAAAATTATCTTTGAAAAGCATTACAAAATTATTTCTTTACTATCTTTATTCTAAATGGCATCATTACTTCTTTGGCCTCTACCAAGAAAAATTGGTTACAGGAACGTATATTCTGTACTTGTCAGCTGCTACCTATACAGTTCCATTATGAATGGTCATTAGCTGCCAGTCTCTCAGCATTATTACYTTGAGGGCTCCATAAACCCTGTCCCATTGGTCAGTCTTAAAAATGGCACAGCTGCAAAACAATGTCAGTTATGATTCAGCCCTAATTTTCCCTGTCAACAGCCTTGTTCAACTTCCCAGATATTCCTACTTGTTGCCAAGTCCATTTTGTAAACGAAATCTGCCTTTTGAAAATCACCATATGAATATGTCAACAGGTCATGAAATATTTTCATTACAAATCTTAAAGAAAAACTTAGCTCTAAAGAAACAGTTTGGAAAATGTCTATTTCATTAAGTGCAAGTGTGAAATCTTGATGGAAAATATTTATTTTGGCAACTTTCTATTCTGCTGGTGGCCSCAAAGTATCCTGACCAGCCTATCATTGTGGGAGGCGAAACTGGGGGGATTCTGGAGCAAATGAAAAATTCCTTAGCAGGAGCCCTTTGAATCATTAGCATTGGGGAAGAAAGACTGGGAAAATCCAAAGTGTAAATGTCAGGTATAAGAGATTATTCCAAAACTCCCTGTGCCATAAGAGTCATTTCTCAATTATCCATGGTAAGAAAAAAGAACTAGTAAATGGACCAAAAGCAGTAGATAATTTCCCAATTCACTCATGTTTGATTTTGGAACAAATGCGCATGGTACATTCATATTTCCCCTCCTTAAGTCTGCTCCTAAAGCCATTTTCTCTTCCTAGAAAGACTTGCCACCCTCCTCTGTCTGACAAGGTCTATTCATTATTTATGACCCTCTACAMACATGGCCTACCTTTCCTGGGAAGACTTCCTCGCTCTCCCTGGCAGAGAATCTGTGTATTCTGTACTCTCACAGCCTTASATGCCTTCCTTTATTATTGCATGTGTCATGTAAACTGTAATAGTGTCTTTCTATGTCCGTTTTCCTAACTGTCCTGAGAGATCTCTGAKGTAAAGCCATGTCTAATTCATCTTCTGGTTGCAGAGCCATGCCTCAAGCATAGACAATGCCTGGGAAACATTTTTTAATGATTTCTTTCCCAGGTAATCCCCACTCAACGTGGAGGAAGCATCATGATAGCAGCTAAAGATGAATAAAAACATCAAATTGGAATCTGAAACCAACACAGCCCATTTCCAAAGAATTCCATCAGGAGAGGAGTTCAGGAGATTCCTTAAAACTAAAAGCTTGTCTTGAACCTCTATGATTTTCCCTGACTCTCCAATATATGGTATGCACTGCTCTTATAATACCTATTCAGCTGTGTTTGTTGTGTATCATTTTAGGCCCAAGTGCTATTTCTTTATTAGATTGATGAAACTATGTCTTACTAACTACAATGCTCCTATATTTTCTTTGAGTACATGTGTTTACCAATTTCTCTTAGCAACATTTTTCTATGAGTTTATATCATGGCAATTATCTACATTAGAAAATGAGAAAAATTAAGAATCAAAAAAACTGGATGACTTGAACAAGCTGGAATCAGGACCCACATGTCTTTGTTTTTTTTTTTTCCTCTGACATCTTAGTGTTCTAAACACTGCACTAGTTTATTCTCCAGAGTACAAGGAAGGTTCTGATCTCACAGAGAGAATGCCTTAATATTAGGGAAGTTAAATGGCACATTCAGAGGTATCAGAGAGACACAGAGGCAGARATAGAATTCAATGCTCTTGATAGGATTGTTAGTTCAAATACTCGTATCCTCGATGTTCCCCTTTTTTTWAAAAAAAATATGAATGATAATTTACTATGATAACACTTCAGAATGACTTTTTCAAAACACAGATAACACTAACAAAAAGATTGATCATATATAAACCTTATAGAGCCAACAGTTTTCAAGGTGAAAACTTAGGTCACAGATACCAAACAAAAAGTACAGTACGGTACAGTGGGGATGATGGTTGATATCCAATTTATATTCAGTAATTTGCTGATTGATATCAGATACACACACATACACATAGTGCTACCTACTTAAGAAGAGATTCTCTCMTACTGGAGAGAAACACTTAATGGAGAAGATGGCAGTGAGCAAAATCTAGAAGGGCAGGTAAAAAGGGAAAGTGATATGCTGGGTTTTTGTACCCCTAACCTACAAAAGACAAGAAAGAGTCAGGTGATTATGAGGAACAGCAAGAAAATATCTTTTACCACAGGGACAGGAAGAATGCTGAGATAAAGTTGGGAAGGTTTTAAAATGCCAAGCTGGAATGAAGTGGGATTGATTTTTTTTATTGTGGCAAAATATACATAACATAAAATTTACTATTTATTTATTTATTTATTTTTATGGGAAGCATATGTTTTACAAGGCATTGCCAAACAAATTTCCAAAGTGGTTATAGCACTTTATATTCAACCTCTGGGTATATGAGAGCTCTGGGTCTTGATGCTATTATTATACATTTTGCTTTTACATATGGTATAAATCCCACAAAACATTAGTTTTGCTTGTCAATTATTTTTAATTAAGGAACAAAACAACACCAGTCATTTTTGCTTTCTCAAATATTCACCACTTCCAGAACTCTTAATCCTTTTCATAATCCAAGTTGCCATCTGATATCATTTTTCTGTCACTGGAACACCATTTTTAAGTGTACAGTTCTGTGGCACTTTCTACTTCTGAATTTGATTGCTCTAAGTCCCTCAAATAGGTGGAATCCTGCAATATTTGTCTTTTTGACTAGATTATTTATAATGTCTCCCAGGTTTATTTACATTGTAGCATGAGTCAGAATTTCATTTTTAGGGTAAATAATATTCTACTGTGTTTACGCCACATTTTGCTATCACTGATCATTCAATGGACACATACGTTGGTTGCATTAATCGTTTGGCTATTATGAATAATGCTGCCATTGACCTGGGTCAATATC